CTAGGGATCACTTGATGGCCTTAGAGGTAAAGGCCAGCTCCTCTCTTTGGTCTGGGTGAAACATGTCAATTTTCCTCCACTAGTAGCTTGAGGGAAGGGAAACCCATGAACCTTTTGGTAACCCTGACTGGTTGTGAGGTGGAGAACCTTAGTTGAGATGATGGAAGCTGAGAGACTAAGATCTGTGGTTTAAAGGCTAACAGCACAAATAAAATATTTAATCTGTAAAAGCAATGCTCCTTTTAGATATTGAGGGAGTAATGTGAATGGGGCTGATTCTATTATGCAAAGGTGGAATCTCAGGGGCTCAACCAAAATGGTGTTTTATTTGTGAGAAGCCGTCTTATCACACAATTTTTTCTTGCTGTCAACTAAATCCCATGGAATAACTGGCTCGAGAATCTAGGTTTGATATTTGAAACTGCATGTTCAGGTTTTGACTGCTGCCCACCAACAATCTTTTCTTTTGAATAAGTGTATCTATTTTTCTAGCAGCAGTTTGCAGAAATCTCAATGGCTGTAAGAACAGAGGAAGCTCCACCCAGGTAAAGTTCTGAGACCTTCACTGCAGATATTTTGAGAACAGAGAGAGGGCACAGAAGTACTCAGGCTGGACTTAAGAGAAATCAGTACCCACAAACTTTGGAAGAAAAGTTACTTTCCATTTTGGAAGGGGGAAATCTGAGACAGTGCCCTTCCTCTTACCTGGTTGAAAATTATATCCTTTAAGAAAAAGATGTGCCTAAAGTCTTTTGGAATTTCAACATTGTAATGACGGAAAAATTGAAAAGAAAAGAAACATTTTCTTGGAAACTTGAGGGATATGTCATTATCAAGAATATGGAAAAGGTGGGATTGAACTGTTTGTCAGAAAGCTTAATAATCAGCAGGGCTCATGTTATAACAGCCATCTCACCTCCACCAAAAATTGAAGATCTGAAGACGTCCCTCTATCAGGAAAGAGAATCTGGTTTGGTAAGGGTTTTTAAATAAGAAGAGGTGAGAAGATGGGTTTGGTCACTGGAATAAGCTGGTGTGAGGCTTTCCATCTTAAGCAGGAGAAGTTACAAGCTTTCAGGGGCTAGGAAAACAGATGAGACTGGAGATGGAAGCCTCATTAAATAAGGCACCTTTTAGGGGTCACCAAAAGGGGAGAAGAGATAACCACAGGGTGTTCTGGGAAGGGCAGTCAGAATCCAGGAGGAATTTTTCTGGCCATAGGAAGGAATGTGTTATAAGCCAAGATGGTCCAGGAAGGCCAGTGTGAGGTCAGAAGGAATCACTTAACGAAGGTGCTCTTGCCTGGAGTCAACAATGAGGATTCTACTAGAACTAGGGCCACATTAAAGGCTTCCAGGTTAGACTGTAAGTTTGAGTACTTCAGTCAGAGTAAAATACATTCTATAATAGGTTGAAGGAAGAAAAGGAAGAGGGGAGGCAGTGTGGTGTCATGGAAGGAACTAAGGCTTTGCAATCAGACTTACTCTGTGACCTTGGGCAAGTTACTTAACCCCTCTGAGCTTTCATTACTTCATTTGCAAAATGGACATAATTATATCTACCTTAAAAGGCTGCAGTGAAGATTCAGTAAGAAATGTATGTGAAGCACCAAGCACTGTACCTGGAAACTTGTAGGTACTCAATAAGTGTTAATTTCCTTCCCCTTCTGAAAGCTGTGCTTTCCAGCCCATTGTCTAGAGCCCCACTGTGCGATACAGTGGCCAATACTAGCCACATGCGGCTCTCAGTAACTTTAAAGGTGGTTAGTCTGAACTGAGGTAACTCATACGTGTGAAATGCATACCAGATTTCTAAAACTTTGTACCACAAAGATTGTAAATTGCCTTATTAATAACTTTAGACCAATTACATGTTAGACTAATGTTCTGGATACCTTTCGGTTAAATGAAATATATGATTCAAACTAATTTATCCTGTTTCTTTATGCTTGATTTAACGTGGCTAGTAGAGAATTTAAAATTACAGTATGGTTTACATTTTAGTCCTCTTGGACAGCACTGATCTAGACATTAGATAAAGGCAGGATTGGGAAAACCTGTTCCAGAAGCTCATTTGTTTCCCATACATGGGGTTGGGTTTTGGTTTGTTCTTCTGTAGTTCCTCAGTAAAAGATCCTTTAGGAAAAAATACCAGCCGGGGCTCAACCAAAATGGGTGAGAATGCTTGTGCGCCCCTAGTGGCCAGGCACTGTAATAGCCTCAGCCCTGGAAAAAGTAGGTAGGGCTAGTATACGAGAGAATGGCGATGTCAGGTGGGGCGGCCAGAGCAGCTGGCTGGACTATTCCCTTCACAACCTGGAGCATTCTAGATTCTTCCACCTTCCTTTACTCTGGGAGGAAGGCCTCAGACTCTCATTTCAGAAGATTCCCCCACCTTATATGTGAACTTGGCAGGAAGCAGGCTCCCACCAGGCAGTAACAAACACAGGTGCAAGAGAAAATGCCACTTCAAAGCCATCTTTAGAAAACCCCAGAGTTTTCAGAGAAATGAACAGCAGACATTCACAGACATGAGAATGTTCTTTTTTTTTTTCCTCCCTCCCAAGAAGTGTGGTTGGTAGTTGTTTTTAAAACTGTACATTTTACTGTACATTTTTTAGGCAAAGGAGAAGATTGGCATTTATATTCTGACCACGGGGATGTAGCTGTCCAAAACTTCAGGTCAAAAGCATGACAAACAAGAGCAAGTCCATATTGTGTCACGACAGAGCTCAGAGCCACTGATGAGAACAGACAGCAAGGTGGTTCCTCCCCTTCTGCTGTCCGCCACTTTCCCTCTGCATGTCTGAATCCAAAGGCAAAACAAAAGCTGGGATTTGAGACCATTTCCACAGTGGCTACATTTTGAAAGGATGAATGGGAAAGATGCAGAGAGAGAAAAGAGAGGAGGAAAAGGGGGAAGGGAAAAGAGGAAGGGCAAGATTTCCTTTCAAGTTACTAGATTCTCTGGGTGCCGCCATGAATGGGGAAGGGATGTGCTCTGGCATTGGGACTGGCCTGAAAAATCTTGCAGTCTTGGGAAAGATTAGCCTTGTATTATCATGAGAAGTCATCTCTTATGTCCCAACCTGAGCTACCTTCTTTAGGAACAAACATGGGAAAGACTTTGGACACAGAACTGCCCTAGTCAGGGAGAGCACAGGGTTATGGATCCTTCAGTAACCTCGTCAGGACCAGATAATATCTGGGGGAGGCAGAGGGCAACAGGAAGAAAAAGAATGAAGACAGGAGAGGGGAGCAAAGGTGAGGGGAGGGAGGGTGGTGAGGAAGGAGGCAGACATGGGATTTGGAGGCTCCTGGGCTGGAGCCAGTCACCAATCCTACATAGATAATTCTTCACCTCCTCTTGCATGTTTCTAAGTGGGGTTTGGGGCCAATAGCTCAGCTCCAGGTCTAAGCCTAAAGTCCAGAGTGCCAGCAACTGTGGAACCAGAATCCTTTCTCTTGTCACTTGGCAATAATCACCTGTGCTTTGTAGACTGTGTGTTTGGCAAGTGGAAGAAGGCAGAAAAACTAAAGAGAGGATAGAGGTCTATGAAGGAGACTTGGGAAAGGAAAGAATGAGTTGGAAAGACTGAGGGAGAGGTAGAGTGTTGCTGATGAGGGGAGACTTAGAAAGGAGCAGAGCAGGAGGGACAGAGATGCAGGGGAAAGTCGGCCCAATTTTCCTAAGCACTTTCTCCCTGGGCACTTCTCTTCTGCTCTTTCTCTTGCCACTGTCTGGAGTGTGGGCATTAATCCCTAGATGGAAAGGAGTCCACGTGCCCTTCCATTCTCATCCTGGAACTTCTAGGAATGGATCCTCCTAGGGAAACCATGGTAAGGCATCCCCCATGTTCCACCATGAGACACCTTCTTCAGGAACAAACAAAAGACAGACTTTGGACACAGAATTGCCCTAGTTAGGGTGAAGACAGAGTTACGGATCCCGAATATCATCTCCATGAGGTAGGTGGACTTGGCCTCTGCCCTTACCTGGTCACTAAGTCACTGTGTGACCTTGGGCAAGTTCCTGTACTGTGGGAGAGGGGGAGACAGGGTTAAGGAAGGATGATTACAAACATCTCCCCAAACTTCAAAACACTACCATTCTAAAAAGATTCAGTTTTCCCTCTCCAAGGCCTCTGGAGGTCTCCCTCTGTGTCCAGTAAGGATAGGGACGGCTCTACCAGCTTGCACTCCTGGGCATTACTGCTGGAAACAATAATATCCAGAGTCAGGAAGAGTTCATTATCTTTAGAACTGAAGGGAATTGGACACTTTCTAATAGAATCCCGGTATTTTGCAAATTAGGAAACTAAGGTCGCAAGAGAGAAAAGGGTCTTGCCCACACTATTCAGCTGGCTATTCAATTCATGTAGCTCTGGACTCAAAGTCCCCGGCTCCTTCTGCCACCCCACACTGCTTCCTTAAGTACGCCCCATTACACAGCATATGTTTATGGGGACTTTTGGCTCCCGCTTCCTAGAAAGAGAGGCAAAAATCCCAAAGCAACTCCGGAAGTTAGGATCTCTCTAGCCTCCAGAATGAAGCTTTCTCCCTCCACACACATAAGAATCCTGGATGTCACCCTTCTGCTTGCAGCTGTGATAGGTGTGAGTGTCTGGTTTGAGGAGAAAAGGAAACTGGGCCAGGGATCACTCACCCCTCCCAGTGGGGGGTGTGGGCTTGGAGGGGAATAATGAGGGCTCTAGGCAGGGGACTCCGTAGTCTTCTCTCAAACAAGTGTGGAACCAGAACCCTTTCTCTTGTCACTTGGCAATAATCACCCACTACCAGGGCTTCTGGCACACCCCTTTGTATGTACAGGAAACTCTCTCCATTATCTGTGTGAATGAAGAGGAGGACTCTGGGAAATGGAAAATATCAATTAAGAAATAAAAACAACACTGGACCCAAAAGCACTCCAAAGCCGCTTGCTTGTAGGCTACATTTGTGATTAGAAAGGCGGGCTCTCGCCTTTCCAAACACTCAGGGCTCAGTCCGACATTTTAGAGAGTCCGCATTCCCTGAGCACAACCCGGCTGGGTGGTGGGGAGGTGATGTGGGTGGTGGGGAATGGGCGGGGGGGGGGCAAGAGGCCGTCGACAGGGAGACGAAACTGTCCCTGGATGTAAACATCACCATGGAAACTCCACAAAGACTTGCCAATAAAGATTCTTTCCCCTTCTTCTCCCACCCTGCAAGAGGGGGAGGGAGGACGCCCATCCCCGGGCCTACACCGTGCTCTCCATAACCCACTCAGAGCTGCCGAAAGTCCCCCGACCCCCCACCAGGTCACTCTCCTCAAAGGGCAAGAGCATGCCATTGACAGACAGGCTGCGCTTCGTCCAGATGTTCGAGACCCTCCGAGGGGGGCTGTAGCCACCGGGGGCGACGCCTCCTGCTGCTGCAGCCGCAAAGTCCCCCATGTCGAAGGAGTGGCTGCGTTTGGTCTTGCCCTCCAGGGGTAAGGGGAGCAGGCTCTTGGCCCGTGCTGCCGGGGGACCCAGCAGTGGCTCTCGGTCTGAGTGGTGGCCCCTGGCTGAGGTCCCAGACCCTCTCCCGGCTGGAGTCCTAGAGTCCAGCAGCTCTTCCTTTCTCTGGCTCTTGAGGTCCAGGGAGGCAAAGGCCCCCATCAGGCGGTCAAGGTTGGGTTTGGGGCGGGTAGTAGGGGGTGGGAGCCTCCAGGGGCCCCGGCCCAGCCCCGCAGCCTCTCCACTGCCCAGGGAGCTGGAAGAGGAGGAGTCACTGCCGTGCACCAGGTTGGCACCAAAGTCCGCGCGCTCGCTGCGCACCACCACCTTGGGCGGGCCCTGCGGCGGGGCAGGCATGCTGCCCGGCGGTGGCGGGGCCCCGTTGGTCTGCGAGTACACGTTGCTCACGGCCGCAGCCATCTTGCTGGGCGCCTCGTGGTTGCAGACTTTGTAGCGCACCATCAGGATGACGATGAAGACCAACAGTGTGGCCACGATGATGCCCCCAATGACCAGGATCATGGTGCCGCCCAGGATCTGGCTATGCATGGACTGGCACTGTGGGTATTCAGCCTTGGTGAAGAACTGGGCGCAGCCCACAATGTTGGTGGCTGTGAGCGTCGTGGCGGTGTCATCCCACATGGCCAGCACACACAAGTCATAGCCAGTCCCTGACACCAAGTTGTTGACCACGAAGGCCTTGTTGGAGGCTGGTATCATCCTGGGGAGGGGATGACACAGATGGGTGGCGGGGTGGAAAGGCAGGGTGATGGAAAGAGGACAGAGACAGAAATAGAGAGGGAGAAGAGAGAGACAAAGACAGACACAGGGATAGAGAGAATGAGGCCATTCCAAAGAAGAGCACCAGAGGGGTGAAGAGACCCCAAAAGGGAGAGGCAGAGAGAAGGGGGGAGGAGATAGGGCAGTAGGCAGGCAGGTAACAGGAATAGGGTACCGGAAATAGTGAACAAGGATGTGGGAGTAGAGACACCCAGGTCAGGGAATGGAGAGATAGGTTGGGGTGGAAAGAAAAAAGGGAAGGATTCAAGGATCAAGTGTTGCAGAGAGATGAGGACAGAGAACCATGCATCAGATAAGGTGAAGAGAGAATGGTCCAGAAGATACGGAAATGAAAAGGCAGTGAGTATGAAGAGGGAGGGAATGAAGAAGGGAAAGTTCAAAGTAGAGGCAAGAGGTGTGAAAGGTGGAGATAAAGAGAAGAAGGGAGAGACTCAAGGAGAGGTGACAGGGGACACAGGAGGAGGGCAAGGGAGAGATAGGCAGAGAGGTTAAAGGTGTGAAGAAGCAGAAATTATGCAAAAAGACACTCCACCTCCCTCCTCCCCCCAGTAGCCGCTACAGATACTCCCTCAGTGTCTGAGAGGTGCAGAGTGACAGTCAAGTCAGCCCTGGCCCCTCTGCAGCCCTCCCCCCAGGGTCTGTGCAGCCTTTGTCTGCTGAGATTCATCAGGACCATATTCAACACTCTCCCTGGGCCATTTGCTGTGCTGAGTCAGAGACCGGATCCTGCTCAGAGGAGCAAACCCTACCTTCATCTCCAAAGGGGAGGGACTCTTTCTGCTTGTAGACCATGGGCAGGGGGTCTATGTAGAAGAGGACTGGAGGCAGGGGAGGGGGGCACGCTGCTCAGAGGCAATGTTAGAGACCGAGGGCAGTTCTGAATCTCAGGAGGAAAGGATGACCCCTTCTCATAGCAATAGTAGGCTAGACCCATCCACGAGCCCTGGGGAAGAGTTTCTCTAGCCAGGAAGGCTTTGACTGCCCCCAGACCAGACCCTAGGCGAGGGCCTGACAGGGCAGCAGCCTCCCCACACTGGGGGCTGTCCTTTGTAGCCTGGGCCCCTCCTGTCTCACCCTGGATGCAAATCTTTAAGACCCTTGCCAAGGCATCATGCCTTCTGCTATCTCCAGAGATGATGACTTTGTCACTTCCATAAATACTCCTGCAGAAATATTCACCAGGCCTGAAAGTACCATTTTGTAGCTTTCCTGAGAGCTCTTTTATTCCTCAAAGGTCCCCATTCTCCTATTCCCTACTACCTGAGAATGAAAGGGCTCCATTAGCTCCCATGAACCTTCAAACACAGAACCAGGCAACTTAATTGAGATCTCAAATATGAAATACCAAAGTCTGAAAACTTCCACCTGGGGACCCTGCACAAAAGATTGAAGCTGACAGGCAGATATCGACATCCTGTCAGTGGGTGGCCCTGGAGGCTGCTGCCTCCCTCTGCACCGTCCTGGTCCACTCAGCTGGGGAAGCTGTGCTGGAGGCCACTGAGCCCCCAAACCCATTCTGACCCCAGCGCACTGCTTGGAGCAGGAGGTGGGGAGGGTGGAGCGTGTTAGGCCTATCCAAGGGCTCCATAGCCACATTTTTACCTAGGCCTCAGGCCAGTCCTGAGGGCAGTGACCAGTGCTCACATTCCACAGAGAAGGATGGGGCTGAGACTCAGAGAGGCCGATTTGTCACAGAGCTGGGGCTGCTAGGAAGAGGTAGTTGGAACTTCTAACACTAGCTTCTGGGTCCACAATTTGGGTGTGTTCTTTACTATGTGACAGATATGGGGGCACTTTTCCTCATTTCAGTGAAAAGTCCACCTTGGCTGGTGGCTTGTCAACTACTCTCTTTTCTGGAACAGTGTTCAGAGCCCTCTATGAATGACACTCCTCCCTAGCAAGATCCCAGTCTGCTGGGACATCTGGTGGGCAGGGCCCAAGGAACTCTATGTGGCCAGTGCTGCAGGGGACACCTGAGTTCCCCAAGGCCTAGTTCCTTCCCCCTCAGGGCTAGTGATATAAGTGGGAAAGGCAGGAGCTAAGCACAGCAAGAAGGGAAAATACCAGCTGGTAAATGGTACCAGGCTCAGTTTAAAGTGTCCTAAGTCAACTTAGTCCTACAGCAACTCTGAAGGAGCCGCCATCCTGATCCTCACTTTGCAGATGGGTAAACAGAGGTGCAGAGGTAACATGACAGAATCCAGCTCCAGACTGCTGTAAATCACTGCGCTCCACCACCTTGCTAGGGCATGAGCCATGTAAGAGCATATCCAGTTAAGGAAGGGATGGGTGTGTTTATTGAATGCCTATTACGTGACATGGGTTCCCACATTTATCACTGCATTTAATGCAACCACCTCGGGACACAGAAAATGCACTAGGAGCCCAGAAATTGTCTCAGTTGTTTAGCTACCTTCTCCTGGGAAGCAGATCCTCACGCTATTGACGTCACCACTACTACGAATAACGACAAAAGATGAAAAGTAGCTATGTGAGGGTTTACTCTGTGCCAGGCATTATTTTGAGATATCTATGGGGATATCCTGTTTAATACTCTCAATAATTGTTGGAAGGTATTTACTATTACTGCCATTGCCACTTTTCAGATAAGAAACTGAGGCACGGATGACCAGCAGGCAGTTGCTCTAGGGCTCTTCTTCTGACCACAGGATAATGCTACATCCCACACACTGTCCCATCTTCCTGACCTTCCCTGGCAACTTTGGAGGGGATGCTGTCTGCTTCCCAAGTCAGGGAAAATTGTAATGTGATGAAGCTACAGTTGGGCTGTGCTGCTAATGCAGGTATAATAGGGCAAGGCTGATTCCTGGTAGGCTGCTGGCACCAGGGAGGAAGAATCAGGCTTAGAGAAGCATCCCACTGTATCCAGCCCATCTGAACAAGGCCAGAGGAAAAAGCCTGCTTCCTGGAGTCAGATAAAGGGCAGGAAAGGAGCTCTGGTCCCTCTGCCCCATGGGGTGTGTATGTGCATCTAGGGGCAGGAGGAGTTGGGGGTTGGGAAACTTCAAGAAAGCCAGAGTCAGCTGACTCAAACTAGCCCCAGCTGGCACGGTCAAGTTTGTCTTTGCTAATAAAAATAAGAACCATGTCACTGAGGGATTACCTTGTCCTGGGAAATTTACATGCATCATTTCATTTAACCTCAGCCCCCTCCCCAAGGAAGTTATTATCATTCCCAGTTATAGGAAGAGGAAGCTAAACACTTTGCACTTCCCCTTGGGGGAATGATGACAGGGCTGAGGCGAGATGAGACCCATTGGGATTCAGAGTCCAGACTTCTTAATCAAAAGCAAGACTGTTCCCTGCTCCAGGCAGCCAATGGACAACCTGCACAAGAAAGCCAAGTGAAATGGGCACTATTCAAACTATTCAGACTGAAATGAAATTCATCTGCACCTGTGTGTCCCTGCCCACTCCATTATGAACCTATATAAACCATGCACGGATCCTCTAAGCTAGATCTGGGTGTATTGGATTGCCCCTCTGTTCCTACCCTTGAACCATCACTCCAACTGGTAGGCTGTACCGTCTGCAACCCCCACCTTCCAACCCACACGCACACTTCTGTTTAGGCTTTTCCATTTCTAGTCTGGATGGACACAGCAGCCCCAAACAGTGTGTCTACCTCAGGCTGTGCTTCCTGAAAATCCATTCTCAGCACCATCTCCAGAGTGCTCCACATAAAACACATCTCTGGCCATGCCCCTGCCCATGAGACACTCTCCAAGAACTAGCCATGATCTAGCAGAGACAGTCCCGGCTCCTTAGCTGGGGGCCCTCATGCTCTCGTCCTCCCACTCACACGCCCTCCCACTTTGCCCACATTCTTAAAAACTTGCTCATGTAAGAAGATACCTTGGAATCAGCTGGGCCCTTCAAGGGCAGAAGGCACACTCCCAGAAGGATAATTAAAGACCTTATTTATAAAGGGACCAATTGCAAAGAGACAGGTAGAGTTTGAGGGGCAATAGGGAAATACAATAACCTAGGATTAGTAGTGATTTAGCTGTTCTCCGTCCCAACCCCCAGTCCCACAAAGGAGAGGGGATCCTATAGGTCAGCATTACTCACAGTGTGGCCCACAGATTAGTGTTCCTGCCCACAGATTAGGTACAGAAATTGACAGCAAGTATCGTATAAATTTTTTACAGGAATTTGGCATTGGTTGTCATATTCAAATGCATGATGGTATTTTTTCTGATAATTTATGTCTGATATGCTCTTGCAAGAGCACTGGTCTGCAACAGACTGGGGAAAGACAAAACTGGGCCTTCACCAGAACAGCTGGAGGAGCACTGACCTGGAGCAGGCTCTCCCAGACTCAGCCCCAGCGACACTTTGCCGTGTGAGTCTTGGCTGGGCGGGGCTGTCCTCAGTGTTGTAGGACGTTGGTGGCATCCTTGGCTTCCACCCGCTAGATGCCAGAACACAGCCCCAGAGTGACACCCAAAATGTCTCCTAACATTGCCAAATGTCCTCTGGGGACAAAATTGCTCCCCTTTTCCATTGAGACACGTTGGTCTAGAGAATTTGGTTGAGGAACAGAATTTGGTTGAGGTTGCTGGGGCAACCTCCTGGGGTGGGACACAGAGATTAAGTAGTCCAACCTCACTTTCCTCTCTGCCCCAACCTTCTGCTGCTGTCCGTGGCTGAACCCAACCAAAAGCCAAAGTTCATGGGCACACACTGGTCAGATGTCCAGGTTATACAGCAAGGTGGAGGAAGGGAGAGTGGATCCAAAGGACAAAAAGACAAGAAGACAGCCACTGCCTCAGCCATCGGATGACACCCCTCCCTGTGAAAAACAGGTTCGTGAAATCCCGAGAGGTTGTTTTCCATCATGTAAACTAGCAACATCCCTGTTAGAAGAAAACATGATTTGCTATTTTAAGTTGCTCC